TGGTCAGTGTCCAGCTGCGTTGCTTGCGATGTATCCATGAAGTGCAATCCTCTTATGATGTGGTGAATGAACAGGTGCTGACGACCAGCTGTTTGAAAAAACTGCGAGAAAAACTCAGAGGCAACCATCTGGTTTTGTTTGAACAAACTGCGCAACGAGAAGGTGAACATGTATTTAAAACCTTTCTCTCCAGCATCATCCAGTGACCCCATGCATTGGAAGAATGTACAAAAATATGAAGCACTTCGAGCAGCATGTCTGCTCGCGATGGTGATTGCGATCTCTTTTCACCAAGCGAACTGTGTCACCATCTCAGATGGTCAGGTATAAGAACTTTGGCTCTTCTGCTGTTCAGACCTTGTTTGTCCTAGATGATCGATACGAACGTCTTTCAAGCGTCATTCTGCATGTTTATCTATCGGAATTATATTGGGTAATACTGACCGGAGTAAGAAGAAATACTATTAGATTTTGGTGGAAAATGTTTAGCCTTTTATGAAACAGGTTTCTGATTAGTTAAATCCGTACATCCGTGTGGCGGATTTCTTGGAACCGAAATACATGCACTTACTTTCTGTGCCAGTGGTTTCCTGTTGTTCCAGTCGTTATTGTAATTATGCATTGCTGTATATATTTTTGTTGCTTGACATCATCAATTTTAGTGGTTTGCATAAACAAAGTCTCAGATGTGTGATATCCGCCCTGTTCGCAGCATTTCTATACTTCTTGTAAGGTACCGCGTTAGGCGTCGCTGAAGGTAGTATTCCTCCTCGAAAGCAGGTCTACATTGTTATCCCACTTTACATGCTGGCTGCTTGGTTAACTTCTGTTTTGTTTCAGCTATTGCACAAAAGGCTCATGGGCTGAAATAAAAGGTTCCTGCTCAGCCAGTTTATCTAGCGGAACCAATCTTCTTTTCTTAATCCCCACGTCAACTGAGTTCACTTGTGCCCGGAAGAGAAGAGTTGTTTTTTTCACGGAGCCATGAAACTTAGGCATCTTACATTTATCCGTAATCATGGATCGAGGCGAACTTTGTTGTACGCAGTTTAGCCTTCGTTCTTCTTCCTTCGTTACAAACTGTTTCTGTGCTGTTTCTGTTTCAGCTGTTTCTGTGCTCTACAACAGCACTGACATGATCGAGATAAAGTACGGGCGGATTTTTCTGCAATGAGGTTACATCTTCAACCGAAATCTGGAACAGATTACCAAAAGGAGTTTAAGCAATGATGTTATTAGTATTTAATACTGATTGGATGGTGCCGTTGGTGGAGGATAAGATGGCCGAAATTCATAAACTTCTCAGTCTATTGTTTCGTCTCTTTATTCAACTTACATCTCTGATGTGCCGGATAAGTTCCTCATAACTTTTGACTTCTGGATGTAAGTGAAGAGACCGGGTTTTGCTGCTGTATTGGATACAGAAACCTTTGGATGACGAAGTGCATTTCCCTTACTACTACTTATGTTGCGTATTTCCGGTCAGCAAGAACCGGATATCTTGAACTGCGCTTTCCCTCTAGAGTGAGACCGTCGTCTTTGTTATGGCAGCACTGCTTCATACGAGAAAGCCAAGAATAGCAAAGGGAAAACCATATCTCCCTGACCATCGCTGCACCTGACCACTCTGATAGCTCTTCTCGACTTTAACAACAAACATGGTTTCGGTTTGCATCGATACGAGTATTAAAACGACGTTCTCAGGCATACCATAGCATTTTAAGTTTTGCCTCATCGTTAACGATGTACTGATTTAAGTGCAACTTTAAATTGAAAGAAGCGGCAAATTGAAACAACCTAAATCTTCAGCATTGCTCATTGATTCTACGAAGAGTGAAGATTTGATAGGAACAAGAGTACCCCTCAAGAAGCATGCATGATTTGAGTAAAGTCTCCCATCAGCCGCCTAAGTCTTTCTACGGTCATCCAGAAGACCAGTTTCCTTGGAGTTGACGGTAGTGTAATACTACGATAGTTGGATCGCTAGGTCGTCCGTCCTGCTTGAGATAAAGTTGCGAATTCTCCACAGGTTTTGTTTTCCCGGGGCAACGTTTCGAGGTCCATTTCATGAAAAAGGGCGAGAAGCTTTCTATCATTCTTTCATATTTAGTTAAATGGGAAGGGATACAATTCACGTAATCCTTCGCCTTGAAGTGTTGCAAAGCTTTTATAGATTTTTGGGTTTGTAGTCTGATATGCACTAATCTGTAGTGAAGACAGAACTAATCTGTACTGAATATAGTGAAGGTAGCAGTTTGCAGGGTCTGATTTGGAGGACAGTTATAGAGGAGCTGCTGGAGGTGTTCTGCCAATCTGTAGAGACGTTCCTTCTGATACAGTAATGTCACACCTATGGCATCATAAATGAGCGCAGATCGATTGCTTTGTTGACCGGTTGACTGTCGTTTGCCTTTTAATGTTGTACTCGAGTCGCCGTTTTCCCTTCTTTATCAGTTTTCCTGATTTCCTTGTCTTCGGTGTTCCATTCTTTTGATACTGTAAGTTCTGCTCCAGCGGCGTTCCTTCTGCTGCCGCCACTGTTCCAACCATACGTCGTTGGTACCACTGATATTAGAAGCGCATGGTTCCCAGTGTTAACAAACGACCAGCTATTCTAATATATATGAATCTAAAATGAAACGTTTTTGCTATTCAGTTGGTTAGGTAGTGGCACTTTGCTTATAGCGACTTTATTCACTTTTAGGTACATTTCTTGGCTGTTCGAAAACTATGATAATTGTACGAACAACGACATCAGAGCTCTGTATATGCAAGCCCTGACCATGGTATGTATCCTTAGTAATGATTTGATCGCCTGTTGAACAGGGTCTTATATTTAGAGTTACAACTACGACAGAAGCGCCGGTCATTTCGAGAAAGTAACGCCGGTATGATTCAGCTTTTGGTTTTGAGTTTTGGCAATCTTGGATTTTCTAGGTGTCTGAGTATATTTTTGTTTCACTTGTTATTTAACGTTAACAAAGCGTGAAACAGCTTAATAGCAGGGTTACTCCGTCGAAAGAGTGCGGGTTTGTTTCACTTACCATTGACGTTTGCGAGGTTGGTAAATGAGTATTACTTCTTAGGAAAGAGACGAAAGCACACGCTGGGTAGCCGCATAACTGATATTTCCCAAATAAACAGTTCACTGCTGGCTGATTATTTCGAAGACGGTCAGGGTCGCACTATGTACTGTGAAAAATGGTATCATATACCATATTACACCTACTGTAGGCATTCTAACGGGTGAAGTTTTTTCTTTCGTTAGTAAAGCTTGGACAGCAGTGATTCCCGAATTAGGGTTACCTGATCCATTTGAGATGATTTTCCAAGGACATTGTTCAATGGCGTGATGAATGTCGCATTCTTCGTTCACAAACATTTCTTTTCAGCGCCACCATATTTTCTAATATACTCGTGATCAAGACACCGTTGCAAATTGTTGCGAATAACATGCGGCTGCTGTAAATTCATAACTTCATCTTATATTTCTAAAGTATCGAAACTGCCCTGTTGTTTCATTAAACTTGCATAATACACGATGAGCGTGTTGTATTGTTTTTAAGCTTTAGTATTACCCTGAAGAAAGTCGTTGATGCGCAGTTGAATCATTCGTTTAAATTTGGTTATATTACATCTTACTTTGACTGTGTATACCGGAAATTGTTTCTTCGTTGACGAAATAAATTCTAAAGCAAAACTTTGATGAAAATTCGACAGTTGGCTCACAAATTAATCATAAATTAAAAATATAGCAGATCTGAATACGAATTGGTCCAAAGAATGTTAAAAAACAAATGTGAATACAAGTGGCAAACGTTTTTCACGATAACCTCAAAAAATCACAACAAGTACATATTGAGCTAAATCAGTTTTTGTGAGCCATACTGATGCAGTGTAATCACTGGGATGTCATATTCGTAATTGATATTGTGTTGGACTTCAGGACGTTAGGATTAATTACACAGTAGATAGATTGTCTTCGGCGGGGAATTTTTTTTCGCAGTTTAGCTGTTTTCGCCGTTCCGCCACGTTGTTCAGCTTGAGAGCAGGTTAGCATCTTTAACTGACGATATTCTCGTTTGTATTTTTAGGATTTATTGCAGCTATGCTATTATATCATATACCGTATGCCTAGACCAAGTTTTTAATATATCACACTTGCGGTATTTAATATACCAGCTGAATGTCCAGACTTGACAGACTGAAAGCATCTATTTGTGTGTTCATTGAGATTAAACTTGCAAAGTTTTACATTAGATTAACTCCTGTTGATGCTTTAGGACGTTCTGGCGCGTTTACAGAAGTATCTGGAAACTGCTGATTCTTCTGAAACTTTAACCTCAATTCTCGATAGTATAGTTCTGATCGCATCATCGTATAGAAGATATTTTTCTTCACACTTTAACGTACGTAGTGACAAGATATATTTCTGCCGTTCGGTACTGTTGTTTTAAGGACGTTGTTGATATTGTGATCGGTTGGTACTTGGATACCTCACTCGAAAAAGAGTACACAGCGAGTTATGAAAATGCACTGATGAAACTGCAGTATTTCTGGCTAAACGACATGCAGTTTACATTAATGCTTCTGTCACAATTTTTGGAAGACGCAGAAGCTTACGTGGAGGTACTATATGACTTTTATGCTGCTGTCATTGACGTGAATTTAACGCGCAATTTAGGATTTGATGGGAAATTTAGCGAACAGACGGTTTGACCAGCTGAAGCCGGAATATGTTATTAAGACTGCGAGTTTAATTAAGTAATAATGTTTTAGTCTACGAAATTTATAAACGTTGCGGACTTTTGAGGTAGACGTTCTTACAGTATCAGTGGTAGTCTTTGTGATTAAAAGTATCATGTGATATAAAGTCTGTCCTCTTAATATAACCTGTCAGTGCAACTTTTAACCATTTAAACGATCAGCGTCATCTTTCATTCAGAGGATTATACGTTAATGTACTAGTTTAGTATTAGTTAATGTACTTGTTTGGCGTTTGTCGGTACACTGCGGATTTCTCAGATCTTGGCTATCCAACTGACGACTGTTAGTCTTCTTCATCTTCCATGACCGCTTCTCCTTTCGGGTCGCGGGGCAGACGCGCCAGACAGAGCTTCCAACGTTCCCGATCCTGTGCCAGAGTCTGAGCTTCGACAGAAGACAACTGGAGTCTGGAGTAGACTCCTTCCATATATTTGCACCAGGTTAATCTTGGCCATCTTCTGGGCCTCCTGCCAGTCGGCTGAGCAAGTAGAAGTTGCTTAGACTTCCTTTCTGGAAGCCTTCACATCACGTACGCAAACCGTCGTAGCCGTGAGTTCTCAGTGTGAAGAAGCAGCGACTGTACGCCAGAGCATTCGTGGATTTCTGTACTCAAGATGAAGTTGAGATTGAGATGCGTAAGCTCAGCGACTCATCTCAGAAAGCCCATTTCAGCCCTTGTTCCCGGGATCAGTTTTTCGGTCATGGTCCACGACGTATGACCGTAATTAGACATGGGATAAAGATCAGTTTGAATACTGAGAGCTTAGGTTGTTAGTTTTCATTGTTTTTTCATGTTCCAAATCAAATTTTACCAATGTCTTTCGTGAGTCTTTTTCTTCCGTTCAGAAAGTAAAAGGCATGAGAAAGCGATTGCGCTTTGCTTTCTTTGGGTATTATTATGGTAGCTGCTCCTACTCTTTCTGTTCAGGTGTGAAACATTCGCGTTTGATTTTTAGGCAGAATTGCAATAAGAAGCTTACTTATCCTCTCCTACCTCAATTACCAATGTCTAAACCGCCGACTGTTTCTGAATTTATGATAGGTCTTTACTCCACCGTAGCAGCTCTGGAGTATGTAGTTGTAGTTCGCCCTCTCATGAGATCTCATACTTTGATTGCTATCGGCTTTCCGCTGCAGAAACTAAGTTTCAATTATGAATGGCGGTTAAATGATGCCAACAAAGAAATTTTGA